TATATTTAGGTTGGGAAATTACAGGACACCAGTGCTGTTCTGGGGGACTCAATTGACCCAGAAGTGCTGGGTACTAAGAGGGCGGGGAAGATATGATTGAGGGCTTTTACCGATTTCCCCCGTTGTCTGGGTTTGAGCTCAGACATGGCAATCAGCACCGCGATCGCATAGGAAGTGTTATGTAGGAAGATAGGAGCCCACCCCAAGAGAAGAAAACCTGTGCAGGGCCATAGGCCAGGCCCCAGGATGGTGTCACTTAATCCATATTTTTCTCCGTGGGGCACTGTGCCTGCCATTAGGGTTGTGAGCAGGATCCTGCCATGAATCTGCTGAGAAGGGCCTGAGAGAGAGACCATGAGCTCCAGATAGACCCACAGCTGCTCCAGATGCCCACAGAAGCAGCAGGATCTGCAACCATTGCCAGAAGCCATGCCACTTTCCCCAGGAATGAATACTCTTGTTGACATTTTTATCGACATTTAGGCATGTCCCGACATCAAAATACTTGCTTTCTGGCAAAAATGTCTTCAGCAAAGAATGAAGACAAAGGTTCGTTTTTGTTACATCCAAAGACCAAGGCTCAAATCTTGTAGAAGCAAAACAGCTTTGACATTTCAAACTTTGCCCAGAAAGAACACAGCGACAGCAAGGCATGGGGCTGAAGACGTAAGGGGTAAGGAGGAAAGGGAAATGAAAGAAGAGCCACAACAAGGAAAATATTATGCTCCTGGAAATGAAACTTTACGATGCTGGGACTCCCCCTTAGAGCCCCAGAGGCTGACTCAGCACACACTGATAAAATGCTAAACACGGTTCATTTAAGACTCGAGCAAAGTTAGACTTCCCTACAGCCAGCCTCACCTCCTTGACACCCTTGGATGTTTTTATTTCTCCTTTCTCATGGCTTTTGGGAGTCCCCACTCACTCCACTGAGCTGGCCTGGGTGTCTTTTTTTCCAGCAGAAGGCAGGGGTCCAAGATTGTTTTTCATGTTATGGATAAAATCTAATTACTAAAGAAGGTAAGTGACAGTAGGAAAGGAAGCAGTTAATACAGATTTCATAGAATGTGTTTTGAAACTTTCTGAGTATTTTCAAATACCAGATCTTGCCCAGGATGTTCCTATAGCAATAGATACGGCCTATTATTATTATTATTATTATTATTATTATT